CTATCTTGCGCTCTGTATCTGTCTCTATCTATCTGGCTTTCTGTATCTGTCTGTATTTCTATCTTGCGCTCTGTATCTGTCTCTATCTATCTGGCTTTCTGTATCTGTCTGTATTTCTATCTTGCGCTCTGTATCTGTCTGTATTTCTATCTTGCTCTCTGTATCTGTCTCTATCTCTCTTGCTCTCAGTATCTGTCTCTATCTGTCTTGCTTTCTGTATCTGTCTGTATTTCTATCGTGCTCTCTGTATCAGTCTCTATCTGTCTTGCTCTCTGTATCTGTCTGTATTTCTATCTTGCTCTCTGTATCAGTCTCTATCTGTCTTGCTTTCTGTATCTGTCTGTATTTCTATCTTGCTCTCTGTATCAGTCTCTATCTGTCTTGCTCTCAGTATCTGTCTGCATCTATCTTGTTTTCCCATCTAGTAATTCACCACTTACTCGCATCGCTGCATCGCGGGTCCACCACGCATGCGCAGTAATGTCGGATGCCCAGTGAGCCTTGTCTGAAGTGTCTGTCGTCGTTAACGAGTGTTTTGCTGCTGCTGGGTGCCTGCCTCGCTGTGTACTACTGCGCTGCTGCTGTGCCCGCCTGCTGCCTGCTGCCTGCCTACTACTACTACCCTACCAATACTGTACTCACTACTACTAATACTAGCTACTACTACTACGTACTACTGTGCTGCTTAGCTGCTCTGCCTTACGCCTGCTGCTGCTGCCCTGCTGCTCTACTAGTAACTTATCTGCCTGCCTGCTGCCTGCCTGGCTGTTGCGCTAGCTGCTGACTGCTCGCCTGCCCTGCTGTTGCTGCTGCTGCCCCCTGCCTGCTGTTACTACATACTACTACTACTCTACTACTGCATGCTGCTGCTGCTAGCTGCTAGCTGCGTGGTGAGCGGTGGGCGCAGATAAGGGCGGAAGGGGTAGCAAGATAACGTAGACATCAACGACCGCCTGACGCTTCATCAATCGAACCCTCCCACCCTCCTCTCTCCGCTCCCCTTCTTCCTCTCCCTCCCTCCCCTCCTCCCCTCCCCCTCCCCTCCCCCCACCATCCCCTCCCCTCGCCCTGCCTCCTCTCCCTCCTTCTCCTCCCCACCGCATCACGTCTCTTTACAAGGCCCTTGAACACGCACCCTCACCTCCCCGTCACTCGTGTTTCAGCCTCCACCCTCGCCCTCCGCTGGCTAGAATTAGGGACTGCCGATGCTGCCGAGCTCGTAGGTGTCTTCGGTGGCGGTGGACGTGCGACGTGCGCGTCGGGCGTCGTGTGGTCGGAGATGAGTTAGACGACTGCGCCCGGATGCGGTGAAGCTAGCGGGAGCAGGCTAGCGGATGCATATGCCAGGAGCGTCTGTGTGTGTGTGGTGTCGTGGCATCGTGCCGCTCCCGTGCGTGCGTGTTGTGGCGTTGTGTGTTGCGTGCGTGCGCTGCGTGTGTGTGTGTGTGCTCGCCAGGCCGTCGCTGTGCTGTGCTGTTTGTGGTGCGCCCGCGTGTATCTGCTTGTGCTGCGTACGTGCGTGTGGTGGTATGTGTGATGCTGCTGTGTGTATCTGCCTGTCTCGTCGTCTGTGCGTGTAGTGCGTGCTGTATGTATTGGTGGGTGCGTTTTTTTTTGTGCTTTATCTTTGTTAGCCAGCGCCACGCCGTTAACCTTCTTGATGTATGCCTAAGGGGGGGGACGCAATTGAGCTAACAGCCGCCATTTCCTGATGGACGGGATTTTTATAGCCTTTGCAATATATGCCGTACAGGCGCTGCTGTGGCGTTGTAAGTTCGTTAATCTTAAATGACAACGTCACGCTCAATTTTTATCGTAAATTTGTAAAAATTTTGTTGCATTTATTTAGCATAAAAAGTAAAAACTAACCGAAGACTAAAACGTATCGTAAAATTCTCACGCTGATAAGAATGTTCTCAATTTGTTAAGGAAATCCAAAAAAACCTGGACGAATTTAATTCTCTTTCTTTCTGTCTCTCTCTTCTCTCTCGTGCTCTTCTCTCTAGACTCTATCCGCCTCCTCTCTCGTTCTCCTCTCTCTCCCTGTTCTCTCTCCTTTCTCTCCGTCTCTCTCGTCTCTCTCCTACACTTATACATTGACACTGAACCCTTTCTCTCTCTCAGTCGCACGCAGCCGAACAGTCTTCCTCGTTCAGCCGTCGTCACCGTGCCGACCAACGGAGTCGTCTGCCGACCGGCCGCCCGGCGCGTTCTGCACCTACAGAACCGCTCGTTCTGCGTGTCGTGCGGCCATCCCGCGCGCGTCTGCCTCGTGGAGCTGCACCACCTTACACGTCGCTTCGGAAGTCATCAACGGCGATGCTCGCCGATTCTGTCGCAGGGCGGCACAACGCTGCGGCAAAGGTGGGTCCGGCGGGGAGGGTGGAGGTGTCTTGTGCGTGGGTCCGCGGGCGAGGGTGGAAGGGGTGCGTGGCGTCAGCGGGGAGGCGTTGGGGACCTTTCCGTGGCGTAGATGGCATGGGGTTAAACACGTTCAACGCGAAGACACTAGATATCTCGTTCGAACCTGCAAAAACGCACGGCCGCCGAACACAAGTTACTCCGTGGCCAAAAAAAAAAAAATAAATAATTAATTTGGAAACGTCTTACTATGTTTCTTCCTATTTAGAATGGCAGGGGCTATACGCTTAGCAAATTTAATAGCGTCACTGTATAAACCCCAGTATAGATGAACATAATTTATTTACAAAACATTACTGTTGTTTTGCGAACGTTAATTTTGGGAGTTTTGGGACTGAGGTAATGCTTTTTAGTTCACCCCGCCAAAGGGCGTTTGACCGCCGTGTGTTGTGAAGTTGTTTTTATTCTAAAAAGTTGTGTTTGATTGATAAGATCACGGTGGATAGATTTCGGTGTTGTTTTTGATGTCTTGAGAGTAAGTTTATATCTATATTATACTAGCCACTAATTATAAATAATTTTATAGCTAGTTAACACTGCCAAAAACATTTTCGTGTAATAGGTGACCTAAGCGGTAAAAAACGCGGAAAAATCTCAGCCACAGGGCGGTAGGTGCCATTGGTTTAACCAGGGCAGCGTTGAACGTGTTAATCATCAATATTATATGTAATGCTCGCACCCCAGTAGTTTCTTGAATTCAATTTGTTTATTGACACTACGTTGTTATCCCATCCCGGTTAGCTGGCCATGGGTTAATCATCAATATCTCAATGCCCCCCACCCCCTTAGTTTCTGATTTCATTAAACCGAGTTTATTGACACTATTGTTGCTTTGTTGCGGTAGCTGGCATGGGTTCAATCATCAATATATTAATGTCCCACTCCCTAGTTTCTTGATTTCATTGTTTATTGACGCTATCATTGTTTTGGTAGCTGCTGATGGTGTGTATGCTGCTGCTCGGCTCTCAGGCTGGAGCGAATATGGTCGCTGCCGTTCAAGCTGGCGCTGAGCGCAACTGACCTCGAGCAGACAACCAGACTCTACCTGCCGCAATTTTTCATGTGTGAGTACTTCTCATCTCTCTGTGTCGTGCCGTGCGTGCGTGCGTGTGTGGCCTGTGTGGCCTGTATGCATGCGTGCGTGCGTGTGTGCTGTGCGTGCATGCGTGCGCATGTGTGTGTGTGTGTGGCAATGTGCGTGGTGCGTGTGGTGGCGTGCGTCGTCGGGCGTGCGTGCATTGCGTGCGTGTGTGGCGTGCGTGCGTGTCGTGCGTGGTGTTGGCCTGCGTGCGTGCGTGTGTGCTCGTGTGCGTGTTGTGGCGTGCGGTTGTGCCCGTGGTGTGGGCCTGTGTGGAGGTGCGTGCGTGCGTTGCGTGTGCTCACAATCAGACTTTATGTCAAAAGTTAACGATACATTCAGACTATAAAATAAACGAACTCATTATAACGCTCGCTGACGCGATTGCGCGTCACCGGTTTCCCCTGTCTCCCGTTGCCCAGGCAACGACGCCAGCTTCCGCTCACGACATCGAGCACCAGCACAGCCACGCGCTCGTCCGACGCGACCGCACAGCTCTTCGCCTCCGCTAACTTCGGCGAAAGCGAGCCGTCTCGTTTTCCGAGCCTCCCCTAACCGCCCCGCCGTCGCGCCCCGAGCCGAAGGACGGATCCGCCGGCTCGCAACCGCGTGCGCCGCCGAACGTGGGCTCCCCCTCGGGGAGCACACTGACTATCACAAGCCGCCTATCCAAGAGAAGGTAAAAACGTGGCTGCCCTTTGTCAGGCTTGTTGGCATTTGTTATTTGCAATTAAATAAGTTTAAATAATATTTTAATATTCTTATTGATCAACTTGATTAAATTTGTAGTAGTAAATGTCGCTACGAACCCTGCTATGTCTTGTCTACCTCTTATGTCATAATCTTATAATACAGTACTGCTGACATCATCATTGCACGATGCACAGTAACTGCTGACATCATCATTGCACAATGCACAGTAACTGCTGACATCATCATTGCACGATGCACAGTAACTGCTGACATCATCATTGCACAATGCACAGTAACTGCTGACATCATCATTGCACGATGCACAGTAACTGCTGACATCATCATTGCACAATGCACAGTAACTGCTGACATCATCAATGCACAATGCACAGTAACTGCTGACATCATCATTGCATGATGCACAGTAACTGTTGACATCATCGATGCACGATGCACAGTGCACATTTATCGATGACATCACGCTGACGGTGGCCATGTTTGTTCGCGCGCAGGGATCCGGCAGATGTTCCGGCAGTTTCTCCGGCGGAAGCGCGAACTCATCGAAGGAATCGGGTCCGTCGTCGTCGTCGTTCCACCGCGAACTCCTCGCGACGAACGGCGTCGTGGCGTTCGCGAACAACGCCGACGACGAAGGCCTCGCCGATCTGCTGCACTCGCTCGCCGCCGCCGACGACAACGACGACGGTGGCGCCACCACGCGGGACGAGGCGGACACTCGCTGCGCCGAGGAGCTGGTGAAGATCGAGGCGTGCGGCGCCCGTCTAATGAACATCGACATGTTCTGCCGGCGCTGCAGCGGCAGCAGCGGCAGCGTCGACTCTGCGACGAGGCAGCAGGGGGCGCCGGCGTGCGGGTGCGCCGCGCCGCGAGCCACCGCCGCCACGCAGACGCCGCACTACGCGTCGCCGCGCTCGCTCTACGACTCGCCGCGGCGATTCAGCTTCCCGTCGCCCGCGGCAACGGCGTCGGACGAATCGGACAGCTACTACGCGACGCCGGCTTGCGGCGCGCCCACGGTGCCGCGCATCCGCATGGTCGATATCGACGCCGACTTCTCGCAGCAGATGGCGCCGGTGCTGCTCGAGGGAACGGCGGAGGAGGAGGAGGAGGAGGGAGAGTGTTTGATGATGAAGCTAGGAGGGACCGACTACGATACGCCGAAACGCATCATGGTAGGTGGTGGGCTGGCTCTCACAGCATCTCGCACGGTGCCTCACTGTGTCTCACACACAGCATATCATCGTCTCACACAGCAGGGTGCGAAATTAACGCAGAGTCCGGAGTCAAATACTCCCTGATTTACTGTCGGACTCCTTAATTTGATATATACAGGAGTCCGTGTGACTCCCTGAAAATTCTGCTATACTAACTAGTTTGTTCCAGAGCACGGCATCGCGGAATTACCGTATTTTTCAGCAAATATTAAAAGAAAATTTTGGCAGACCTGCAACTGCATGAATCTTCGAAATAAGCACACGTGTTATTGTTGTTGTGCTTTAGTTTTGAACTTCAGACTGCGGACTCCCTCATTTTGCTGCGCACTCTCTTTTAGAGGGTAGGGAGTCCGTTGGACTCCCTTATTCAAAAGTTAATTTCTACCCCTGCACAGTGTCTCGCATATCATCGGCACATATCATCATCTCATACAGTGTCTCATACAGTGTCTCATACAGTGTCTCATACAGTGTCTCATACAGTGTCTCAAACAGTGTCTCATACAGTGTCTCATACAGTGTCTCATACAGTGTCTCATACAGTGTCTCATACAGTGTCTCATACAGTGTCTC